GTGTGGTGGTGGGCGCCTGTAGTACCAGCTACTCTGGAGGCTGAGGCAGGAGAATGGCGTGAACCCAGGAGGTGAAGCTTGCAGTGAACGGAGATCCCGCCACTGCACTCTAGCCTGGGTGGCAGAGCCAGACTCCGTCTCAAAAAAAAAAAAAAAAAAAAAAGAAAGAAAATATGTTTTGGGCAGGTATGGTGGCTCACATTTTGGGAGGGAAGGATCACTTCAGCCCAGGGATTCCAGACCAGTATGGGCAACATGATGAAACCCATCTCTACAAAAAAATACAAAAAATTAGCCAGGCATGCGCATATAGTCCAGCTACCAAGGAGGCTGAGGTGGAAGGATTGCTTGAGCCTGGGAGGTGAAGTTTGCAGTGAACAGAGATCATGCCACTGCACTCCAGCCTGGGCAACAAAGCAAGACCCTGTCTCAAAAACAAAAAAGTTTTAACTGGTAAAACACATTTTTTCACAGTGCCAATATATTTGAAGGCCTATTCCTCAAATACTTTTTTTACTTTTATGTATGGTTTCTAGAAAGATCCCCTTTTTAAATTACACTATTCTGAGGTCAGTATTTAATCATAATTAGAAATGAAATGGGAATATGCAATAATGCTTAAGGTCACAAAGTTTTAACTGTATGTGTCTGGTGATTTGAACAAATAGCTAAGAAGGGTCATCTCACTGTACACACAGTTCGGGGTATTTCTCCTGCAAAATAACTACAGTGAGGCAGATTCTAGAGATGAATGAATGTAAGGCAACTGCAGGAATCTTACCTAAGACTGGAACCACAGCATAACATGATGCCAAGAATGCTTCTGTGGGAATGCCACTGTCTTCCAGAAGCTCAATGTCACTAAAGCTACACAATTTGGTGATACAGAGGAGAAAAGATTGAAAATACAGTATCAGCACTCTGCAGTTCAGAGGTAATTCATAGAAACAGCTGCCTCTCTGTAGGGCAAATCATTTGACTTGATATGCCCCAATGACTGTTTTTCTAATATGGTCTCATAAAATAATTTTCCAAAGATAATCCACCAAAGCAAGCTAACATTTGTTCACAGAGCACACTTCACAATCAGTTCCTTCTTACTCATTGGTAAGAAAGAGCAAACAGTAAAGCAGGTACTTGGTATACTACATTCTCTATTCTCCTAGAATATGCCATCACCTGAAAGGAACACCATGACTGATTTTCCAGAATAGAAGCTAGTATCCAAGCATCAGTGATATTAGAGAGTCTAGAATACCTTGTGTTCATGGTACTAAAGAAAGTTGGGATAACTTCTTTGCCTTCCTCCCAGAGGCATTCTGGAGAGCAACTTGAGTCTGATCCAGACTGAGTCAAGTTATTGTCATGATTTTTCAGGTTTTCTATTCCATCTTCCTTCATTATTTCACCTTGGACTGCAAAGTAGAAAATATCTATTACTAACCTATTATATATTTATTATAAAAATACATATTCATTGTTGGAAATTTCTAAAACACAGAAAAATACATAGAAATAAAAATTCATGAACACTGTTCACATACACACATACATACATCTACAGACACAAACAAAACTTGAAATATGTGTAGATTTGAATCCTGCTTGCTTTCACTAAACAATGTATCATCATCATTCAACCCTTCAAAAACATGATTTTAATGACCATGTTATATTGTATCACACCCATAAGGGGCACTTAGGTAGCTTCCAAAATTTTACAATTATAAATACAATCACTACTCATTATTAGCACATTCTATACATATTTGTGAATTTGTCTACTTGCTAAAATTTATTTTGTAACCCCAAAATCAATACACGTGGCACTTTTGCAGTCATTTGTGGACATGTGCAGAGTGGTGAAAACTTTGTTGCTGGACACACATATTCCTAGCTGAGGTAGAGCAATGTGATGTTCTGCCTTCTTGTTTCAGCTCTCATAGGACGGACAAATGTCCTTCCTTAGTGCCACATTTTATGCATGTTTGTGCATTTTGTTGTTTTTGCTGTTTAAAAGGGCTCCCAAGTATAGTACCGTCTAGTGTTCCTACCCACAAAAAGGCTGTGATGTGCCTAAGGGAAAAAAGATGTGTGTTAGATAAGCTTCATTCAAGCATGAGTAATAGTGCTGTTTGCTGTGAGTTCAATGTTAATGAATCAACAATACATATTAAAGTGTCTTTAAACGAAAACACACATAAAACAAGGCTACGTATTGATTGGTAGACAAAAATTTTGTGACCAGAGGCTTGCAGGAACCTAACCCTGTATTTCCCCCAGGAGCAACAGTTTAGTATTTGCTAATTCAGTGGTCATGGTGACTCAATAAAATGTAACTACTGCAAATAATGACTGTAATGCCTAAAAGAACATCCCTGTCAATAGGTCTTTCTCTTTAAATCTAACTATTCACTGAAGAACAATTCCTAGAAGCAAAATTATCAGAGCAAATAAATGACTGCACTGTTTGGACAGACATTTTCTCCTGTCTTTATTATTTACCCAAGAGATAAGACTTCAATGATGTGTGGATTGTCTCTCTCAGATTAACAGCTAAGAAAACACAGCTCCTTCCCTCAACTCTCACACTGCTCCCCAATTCATCAAGAAAAAACAAGGTCTCTTATTTCAAGGTAGATGAGGAGGAAATTTTAATTTCATTTTCAAATTATTAAGTACTTATAATTAAAAGCTCTAATATAGTTGTCTTTGATCTGAAGTAGATTTTAGCGATTAGTGCCAAGGGATTAGCATATTTGAACTACAGACCTATTACCTGAAATGTGAGACTTTGGCTTGGTAAACACAGAGAAGACTGGGTAGAAACCTCATGGTGACTGGGGAATTCTGACATCCTCAGGCCCAACAGAAACCGGGAGGATGAAAAACTGAACTGCGGTAATTTTACACACTGTTAAGTCTAACATCATAATCTAAGTTCAAAGGACTTTTAAGATACAGGGTTGAAGGCCCTCTGCTCACTGCAGCCCATGAACACAGCCAAGAACACTGAGCAGGAATCTTCCTCTTCACCCTGCCTTCTCAACACCAGGTCAGGGTCAGATTGGATGAAAGAATGTTGTTCAGTCACAAAACCTATCTTACCCAGCCAATATCCTCCTTAAGAGACATCACTACATGGTCTTGAGGTTAATCCCTATCGTGGATATACATCAAATTCCCAAATCTTCTATCATCTAAAACTGGTTTGTTTCAGACTTTACTTTTGTTTTTACCTGTTACATTATCATCTGTATTTTCCTCACTTGATATGCTGCAGTCTATCTCTGCAGATTTCAAAGATAAGGAATTCTTATTTTTCATTAGGATTTCTTCCTCACCATTTATTTCCATATTTAAAGATCCATTTTCACAAGTACTCAACTCCATTTGCCTGCAAATTTTTTAAAAGGAAAAAAAGCCAGAAAGTCATTATTTGGTCTTTTTTTTTGAAACAGGTCTCCGCTCTGTCACCCAGGCTGTAGTACAGTGGCACAATCACGGCTCACTGCAGCCTCAATATACTGGGCTCAATCAATCCTCCTACTTGAGCACTCCACCCTGAGTAGCTTGGACTACAGGTGCCTGCCACCATGCCCAGTTAATTTCTAATTTTTTGTAGAGATGGGGTGTCACTATGTTGCCCAGGTTGGTCTTGACCACCTAGCCTCAGGCAATCCTCCCACCTCAGCTTTCTAAAGTGCTGGGATTACAGGCATGAGCCACCTGCCAAGCCTGGTCATAAATTGACTGCCCAGGTAAATGTGATCCTTTCAACATCCACTGAAAGAATTGTTAAATCAACCCAAACCTCCCAGTCTTCTGCCTCCAAGGCCTGTGATGGGAGCAGTCCAGCCTCAAGGCTGCAATTTAGAAATCAAAGAGCCGTTAATGGCTTTCCCAGCACCCTCAGCAGTCCCAATCTTCCTGCTCCCCAGCAGCATCAGGAAATAGTCATTGACAGCTCTTTGGTTTTCAATCAGCTTTCTCCAGGTGACACTTTGTACACTTTACTTTCCTCAACTTCTCCCTGGGAGTCTTCTTCTCTCTCTCTACACCACTGGCCATTTCTCTGTGTTTGACCGGCCAGTAACTTTATCTTATCTTATCTTATCTTATCTTATTTTATTTTATTTTATTTTGAGACACTCTGTCCCCCAGGCTGGGGTGCAATGGTGTGATCTTGGCTCACTGCAACCTCCGGCTTCCGCGTTTAAGTGATTCTCCTGCTTCAGCCTCCTGAGTAGCTGGGATTACAGGCGCCCGCCACCACGCCCAGTTAATTTTTTGTATTTTTAGTAGAGACAGGGTTTCATCAGGTTGGCCAGGCTGGTCTTGAATGCTTGACCTCAGGTGATCCACCTGCCTCGGCCTCCCAAAGCGCTGGAATTATAGGCGTGAGCCACCATGCCCGGCCAGGGAGAGTACTCCTTATAAAGCATGTCTGAGAGAAAAAACCCAGGAGGATCACAACACATCCAGAGGGAAATGTCAGCACATTAGGGTAACAGAAAAAGCCAATTAACATGCATGTAGAACAGCTAATTCTATCAGTTAAAGGAACAATCATAATATCTTATTATTATAATTAGGTGATTATACCTAGCCTAATTAGAACAAAAATATTTTCTTCTAATAAAAATAAGGAGGAAGGGTCCAAGCTACATAGTAACTTCAGGAAAAGTATTTGCTATTTTCTTAAAAAAAAAAAAAAAACTGTATTTCAACCTAGTAATTAAAAATGTAGGAGCATATAGAGGCAAAGATCTCAACAACAACAAAAAACCTACAAATATGCTCCTAGTAAGAATATTTAGAATAGGAGAAAACTGGAAATAACTAAATTGGGAACAATCCTTGTAATAAAGAAGTAAGCAATAGTATATAAAGAGACGAACTATTAAATAATTTGAGGCCGGGCACAGTGGCTCAGGCCTGTAATACCAACACTTGGGGAGACCAACGCGGGTGGATCGCTTGATGGTGGTTCAAGACCAGCCTGGGCAACATGGTGAAACCCTGTCTCTACAAAAAAATACAAAAATTAGCCAGGCATAGTGGCATGCACCTGTAGTCCCAGCTACTTGGGAGGCTGAGGTGGGATTGCTTGGGCCCGGGATGTTGAGGCTACAGTAATTTAACCCACTTTCATGGGTTAAATCACCTTAAAAATTGAAGGAGCATTTAGGGGAACAGAAATAGTTTAGATTTTGATAGTAGGTTATTTTTCAACCTGCAACACTACCTAAGATTTTTATTTTTAAACACAACAAAATAGCACTACTATCATTTCTAGCTAAAAGCACACTTAAAACAAAGCTCCGAGAGAAGTTTCCTCTACAAGAGAAGTTTCAACCTTCAGTACACCCTAGAGAGATTAAAAGTTACTAGATGTGATGGGTGAGATCCATCTTAGGGAAAATGCCAACATATTCCCTATTAGTGCTAAATAAAAGGTCTGCTCTGGGTTGATTCAGGCTCATTCAAAAGAGGAAAGTCAGATATGTTTACTTCCATATTATTTCAAATCCTGAGAAAAACCATTACATGATCAAAGTATCTTTTTTTAAACAAGGAATAAAAATATCCTTTTTTAAAAAATTTTTAGCGAGAAGAAAAATAGCTACTGTACCTTTCCAAAGAATTATGAATTGGTATAATAGGATGTTTCATCTTTAAAAGAAGCAAAGAAAGGAAAGTTCACATGTTAAAACTTTGAACAGAACATATTGAGGATCTTATTACATACAAAACGGTAAATACGACCATATGACCATAATATACACTAGCCCCACTAAACAGAAACAATTTTAGGTCTTCCCAAAAGGGAGTCATTGATTCCACCTAGTCCTTCTTATTTATACAAATACATTTCTAAGTAAAAGGAAGATGATCTTTTGACAGACCTAATTATCACAGTCAAACTCAGTGATTAGCTTTCTTTGTAATTTCAGTTATGCTCATTAAACATTAGTAAGTAGCAAACTATGACACAAGTACTATATCAAATACTAGAGGTATAAAGGTAGACACTATGGGGTTCCTGCTCTAAATATCATTTCAGTACAAAACAAGGAATATAAATAAAATAGGAGTATGTATAAGAGAGGCTTTTAGCCCAATTTAGGGATTCGGGTAAGAGACTAAGTCTTTGAGGATGAGTATGAGCTAATCCAGGAAAGAGAGGTGAAGAGCATTCCCGGCACTGGAAAATGGCACAAAGGTGTGGGAGGAACTATTAACACAAGCAATGAATATGTTCAAGCTAGGTAATGACAGAGAAAGAGCTGGTAATGTGGGAAGCAGTTAAGAAGTTTTGACTTTAACCTACAGGCAATGAGGGAGCCACTGAAAGGCTTAGGTTAAGTGGTTCAATTTATACTGCATTAATAGAAATATGGTTGACTGGAAGGGTCAGGCTGAAAGCAACTATTAATAGTTAGAAGACTACAACTTTAGGCAAGACTCACTGGACAAGGGGTTGGAAAGAGGCTACATTAGAAACATGTTTAGGTGGTAAAATTGCCACAAGTAACTGACTGGATATGGGGTGCTGAGGACAGATATAAAAAAGGACATAAAGCAAAGTCCATTAAAAAACTGTCTTTATAAGTCACTAAAGGGTAATAGAGAACATAACTCACTATAAACTTTGAAACTTTTCATGATGCCTTGTTGCAGCCAAACTGAGCTGGACTTTTACCTTGCTGGACTTGAGCATGGCCAGCTGCGGTGATCCTGGTGGAGTGCGGTAGAGCAGCTCAGAGGTGAAGGCTGCATTTGCGATCTGCATGCATTCTTCCAAGGTCTTCAGAAAAGTATTACAGGTGGATTTCAGCAAAGTTCCCACATCAATTCCCTCCTATGAAAAAACCAGAGTGGAAGACTCCTTTACCTTGCCAAAAAAGAAAAAGCCCAATTGTGGAATGCCCTTAGAGGTTGTCCACAAAATAATAATAATGTATCCACCTGCTGAAATATGTACATCAGTTATAGAAGAAAAGCCCAATTTATCTATTAATCAAGTAACTATCAGCACTATTTGACTTTAACCTACAAGCAATGAGGGAGCTGCTGAAAGCCTTAGGTAGTAAAGTAGTTGAATTTACATTGCATTAATTGTAACTCCCTCAGTCACGACAACCGAAAGTATCCCTCGTTGAGAATCACTGCTCTAGATTATAAACTTCCCAAGAGCAGGATTGAAATGCTTTTTTCGGTATCCTTCATCTTCCCTCCCATTCCCCTCACAGTCTATCTCATACATATTAGGCAGCTGCTGAATGAGTAAGAGCACCCAAAAGGAAGTGAATGCAAGTGGATTAAATCACCTTTTTAAGAAAAACTCAAAACACACGTACTACCAGCAGTATAGTGTTCTACTACTACCTAAGAAAATAAATTAAAATCTTTCATTATTATCTGCAGATGCATTGTTTGTCAGATCGAAACTTCTTTGAAAGTAGAGCAGAGACCCTGGTTAATGTGAGCCATTCTATACACAGCTTAACACCAGAGAAATCTTTTAATGTATGTTTTAAAATAAGTGAATAACGACTGTATTAATATATACTAAAAAATCACAATCCTTGCTGACAACGAAGAGAAAAAAAGCTGTGTCTCCATCTTTGAAAGCACTAGTGTATTCCAAAGCCCAGTTACAAAGGTAAAACAAAATACTGTTAGTCTCATAGACGCACATCAATGTAAGACACTAAGTTGGCAGCTTAATAGCTACAGCTATAGAAATGGCTACACAAGTCTGTAATTAACAAAACAATATGAAACTGGAGAGAAACATATTTTAGTATGACAGTACTAAAGTTAAAAGTTTCAAATATTATCAATTAATTAATCCTCAATTCATTCCAGGAAGGAAAGCTATACACTTGCATAAGATGAAATGTACATATTGTTTCTCTTTGTTTAATTTTGTTACATTTTTCCTCTATAAAATAGTAAATTCCAAGACAGTCATAAAATTAGGTGAGAGTAAACACCACCTGAAGGAATGAATGTCTGGTGCTTTTTATGTATATCAGTAATATTAATAAAATAATATTTTACCTCAGAATTGGCTATACTGGTAGTCACTTCTTTTATATTATTCATGTATATTAATAATATTAAGAAATAATATTTTACCTCAGAATTGGACACACCAGTTGTGGTCACTTCTTTTGTTTTATCCACTTGCTGAACAAGGAGGTCACAGTAGAGTCTTAGTTCTGACATTTTGGTTTTCAAGTTTTCAGTGTTTTCAGCAAACTCTAAATAACAAAATGATGATAATTCAGTAACCAAAACAAACAACTGATTTACTAGTTAGGATACTACGCAGAAGTGGAATCCTTACTAGTTAGGATACCATACAGAACATATGCCCAAAGACAAATCTTTAAAGTATGGTTGCAAATGTGACAGGTGAAGACATAAGAACAAGAAAAAACAGAAAAAGTAGATCTCCAGTCTTTTAAAGTAGTATACATTATGTATTAAGTCAACATACCGAATAATCACCAGTATACAAAGAAGGAGACAATATACTGTCTAACCCACTCCTGTCAGAACTGGCAGCAGAGCTAAGGGGTTCAGAGTTTTGGCCTCAGTTCTGCCAGAGAGTTTTTCCTATCTATAAAATGGGGTCATAGCTGTTTATCTACTAATGCAGTGCTCTACTCTTACCTGGGAAAAACATTCTGTAGCGTCCAATTATCACTAAGAACACCGTTCATAATTTCAGCTGAGGACTGGTTTGGTATGCTGCCTTGTCAAGACTAACGGCACCCCGCCATTATTAGCAATGCTCTCCACTCACCCTGGCATTGTGGGCTCAGTTACAATTGTTACTACTTTTCTGTTTCCTTCTTCATGAAAAAAAAAAAACTGCATACACATTACCATCTGCTCTGAGTCAAAGCCAAAAGCTTCTAGAATTTGCTCCCAATTTAACATTAAAACAACCAATGAAGAGGCCAATTTATGAATCTATGTAAAGAGTTAAGCACAACTGCCACACCTGTCATGATAGATGTTCCCTGGAACACTTTTTCCCATTTCACCCCACCCCAGCTCATCTCTTCAGGGTACCTTTAGGGCCATGGGGCAGGGAAGGTAGCAACTAGGACCCAGGCAGTGAGCCCTGGTATTCCTGCCCCAGTCCAAACAGAAAGTCAGGCCACGGTTCTCTGGAGAACTTAACAATGTCCAGTGAATGAGCATGAAGCAACAGGAACCTGACAATTAAGCACCCATCCCACCCCAGAAAAAAAGTAAGGAGGAGCAGGGTGTTGCTACAGAAAACACCCTGATCCAAGGCTTATCCGGCTCAACTACTCTTCACCAAAGGTCAAGTTTGGCCACAGACTGGATACTCAACCATTTTATCATCACTAATCCTCATGGTAATCCTCCTGAGGTAGGATCTATTACCTTTTTAAAAGATGAAGAAATTAAGAGTAAGAAAGGTTAAGTGACCGATGCCAAGGTTATACAGTCAATAAACTGCAAAGCCATCATGTGTACCCAGCTGTGTTTGGCTCCAAAGCCTGCACTCTTTGCACTATGCTATGCCAAGAAAGAAGAGTTAGATATGGACCCTGGCTTACATTATACTAAGATACATAGCATTTGCATGATACTTCTGGTCAGAAGCAAGATAACAAACAAGGGAAATCAGAGATGCCAGTGGGTGATTCCCAAGGTTTCCACAGCAAAGGACAATCAATACTTGCCTTTCTCCTTCTGGGTCCTACTGTCAGTCAGGCAAGCCTTGGCTGATCCCAGGGCCACCAGCCACCGCTGTCTTTCAGCCACACTTCTGGCCTTCAGGTAGAAATACTGTTCCCCAGGGATTATCAGGTCCATGCGTGTATTATCTACAGAATGAACTGGGACCAAGACAAAGGGAGATCAGAGACCTAGAAGAGCCCTGTCTGGGTAGCCTCCATCCCACCCAACTTCTTCAGCTTAAATGATGGCAGTCATTGAAGGCTTCTTCCCAAAGAGGATGCCAGTCCTCATTACCTCTCCTAATTCACACAAAGTTCTGTTTACTTATCTCATCTTAGACATCTCTGTTAATCAAGAGAGAAAACCTTGCAATACCCCCAAGGCATCACCAAGACTTTGGCCCAAACAATAATCACCCAATTTAACTTTTCAGTTAAACTGATCCCTTATCGGAATAGAGAAGGAACCTCTCTTTCAGTGGGTATGTGTGTTAAGTAGGCTGCTCTGAGGCCAAGAAACAAGGGTGTGTTTTTTACCTCCTTGGATTTATTGGGAAATAATCAAAAATACAATCTTTTCCATCTTCTACTTCCCTTGACAAGTCAGACCAAAAGTGTGAGAATTTTCTCAGAGGCCTTTAGGAGAAGAAACAAGCAAACTGAACTCTTTCACCCACATCCACTATCTAAATTCCCATTTAATCTGTTTTTCTTCTGAGCCACACCTTGTCAGCATGTCTCAAGACAAAAACAAGAAGTAAAGACTATTTGAAAGTCTGTTAGGTTTTTGCTTGTTTTGTTTTGGTGGAGGGTGTCTGTGTGTGTCCATCCTGATTTAAACACAAAAGTGTTTGATGCTGCAGTAAAGACTTCAAGTTTTGCTAACAGCCACTGGTCCCAGGTGAGCAGGTCACTAAGGAATGAGTGCTAGTTGAATAGTGAAGCACGTTGCTCTCATTTATTTTGACCACCTCTTAGCCAATCTTCTTATAAAAGTTGGCTACAGTTTTGAGTTTTATTTGCAAGGCTTTCTTTTGACACATAACACTATGTCCTTTGGTCTGTACTATGGAAGCAGCAGAGAAAGGTATGCAGGGGCCAGGGGCTTTTTTGTTTTTGAGGGAAAACAGAAAGAAAAATAAAACTTGCAAGTTGCTTGATTCCTCACCTTGAATTTCACAGACTGCCATTTGTATGCTCCCTTTGCAACCTTTCCAGGCATCTTCAGGAGAATCATAATAGGACAATATTCCCCCACAGAGAAGGAACCATCGAGGCTGCCAACCTGAAAACAAAAGCAAGAGCATCATTGCAATTACTGCCTGTGTATGAAGTACCTCCCAAGATACAGAAATAGAGCCTAACATAGGATACTGGGTTAGCTCCAAGGAGCTTTACATTGCCAGGGTTATTCTAAGAGAAAGAATTAAGTTAGAGAGACCTGTATGTTTTATTCCATTTTTATAAAATTAAAAATGCC